CGGGCTCGGGTCTCCGCGGGGCGCTAGGGTGTCGCTATTGTGTCCCTTGGCTGCCGGGCACCAGCTAGCGCTCTGCCCTGGTGGAACGCGTGCCCAGATGGAACACTGGGGGATCCGGAGAGGGGTCTGGTCGCCAGGGACGAGGCCGGCTGCAGGGGTTTGGAGACAGTAAAGTAGGTCGGGGGGGGTGGGGGGGGTAGTGAACGCGGTGGAAGGGGAGAGGGCGCGCACGCGCGCTCTCGGCTGTTATGCGCGAAGGCGGAGGTCCGGGCGCATGCGCACGTCTGGGCGGGGCCGGGCGCGCACGCAGGGCCTGGCGGAAGCAACGTGGGGCACGTACTCAGGGGTTGGAGCCTAAGGAGAGGGCGAACAGGGTCCTTCTCACCCGGGACTTAAAGTTCAGGAGGGGGGGGTGAGGGAGGAGACTGGAGACACTCAGCTGCGTTTTACAAACACACACGCCCAGAAACGGCAGCTGCCCCGGCTCCTCCTCCACCCGCACCTCGCGCAGCAAAACAAACTCTTCAAGACGTAGGCTTTCTGAGTACACATTTTATTAGATTTAGGAGGGGCAGGCCATCATTAATAGTCCCTCCGCGAATTAAAAAAAAGGAAATGTACAAAAAGCTACCTATAAAACATGAGCTCAGACGACTAAACTTTCCCGACTCAGGTCCAAGTTCTGCAAGAGAGAAGGAAGAGGGTGAAGTGGGGAGGATGGGAAGAGGGGTCCAGGAAGGTCCCGAAAGGCAGGCGGGCTGCTCACCTTTTTAAGCCTCCGCTCTCGTGATGCCTGGGAGTCAGTCTCCGTGTAAGGCGGAGGCTCTGACCGGTTGTAGGCCTCCTCCTCCTCCTCTTCCTCCCTGTAGGTTCTCCTCCTCTCCCCAGCCCCCTTCCTCCTCAAGGCCTCCTCCAGCAGCCGCCTATCATAGTGAGGGTTCCCAGACCTGGAGCCGTCCTCCTCAGGGTCCCGGGAGCGGGAGTAGTGGGCTCTGGAATCAGCATGTGGGCGGCCCCCAGACCTGAACTCATCATAGTGGGGGTCCCAGGAGTGTGGGAAGTCCCTCGGGTCATCTTGATAATAGAGGTCATCACGGCTGCGGCTTCTCGGGGCTGCATAGGCCCGGCCTCTCCTCCCGCTACTTGGGGGAGACCTCCCTGATTCAACGGAGCCCGGCCGGATGAGATCATCCAGAGCATCCACAGAGTGGGCCCGGGGCCGCCGAACCTCCCAGCCGCCCCCTGGCTGTTCTGCTGGGGGCTCCTGCTCCCACCTCCTGGGACTCCGAGGGGAGCGTCGGCCCCATTCCTTTTCCCGGATCGGGGTTAAAGCAGGGCCCCTGAGAGGCTGGGATCGTGAGTCGTCCTCGTGGAGGGAGGTGATTTCACTCAAGGCTGCAGAGAAGGGGGTGTCACTGACTGCTGGCAGGAGGCCAGGACTTCATGTCGGGTGTCCTGGGAATCAGCAGGATCACCCCCCTGTCTCATACACTCTAGGGGGCCCTAGGTTTCTGATCTATTAAATGATGCTATGCAGGGGCCTGTCCACCTATCTTCGTGGCATTGGGAGGGAGGGGACACGTCCTACTAACCCCACCTAGCAGGAATCCCTGGCTAGCCTTTACTCGGTGGTAAAGCCTCACTAGCGGTGGGTATGGGGCCCCCTGAGGAGCCAGCAGAGGCTGTGGCCATGGCAGGAGGAACAGACCCCTTGTCAGGGAGCTCACGGGGTTTCAGGATGGAGGACGTGTGGCCTTGGGATGGGCAACTGCAGTCCTGGGCCTCTAATTCGTGGGGTACCAGGGAGATGTGATTCCCCCTCCCCCCCTCAGACCCCAAGGCTCCTGCTTACCCCGCTCCACACGGCCATTGGGGGGACCGTGTCGTGAAGGATCAAAGTTGGCCAGCTCTTTCTCCATGTAGTACAGGACCCGCATGGAGTCATCTTGCTGATTGGCCTGAATCCGGTAGCCACTCCGGACCTCTAGGGACAGGAGGTAGAAGTGACAGGCGTCAGTTTGGGAGGATGAAAGCTGACCCATCCCCCTCCCCTACAGGCATGTACCACCTCACGAGGATCAGTTCTCACCAGAGTTCACACTGCTGTCCGTGTCACGAAGCAGGGGCACCTGGGAGCTGTGGCCACCGACTGGGGGAGACCGGCCGTCAGTGGCTGCCCTCCTGGAACCACCCCACATCTCCAGCCCCCTCCCAAGCCACTCTTCCTTCCAGCCCCAGGTCCACTCTTAGTGCCCAAACACCCAACCTACCCCTCGCCCCAGCGGCTCCTGGCTCGCCCGGGCCTCACCTGAGCTACTCCTGTCAAAATCTCCAGGGTAACCGTTATAGACAGGGGCCATGGGAATCATGGCGGGTGGTGGCGAGGTCTTGCCAGGGGAGAAGTAGGCATAGGTGTCAGGGCTGTAGATGCTTGGGGCTCCTGAGGTGGCCGCTTTGCCGGCATCATACACTAGGACACACACAGTCAGCATGAGAGGTGGTCCAGAGCCATGCTGCTCTGCACTGCAGTAGGGGCTTCTGGAGGGAGGTATGTCTGAACCTCCTTCCCGATGCCCCGGCTGTGGGCTCTCCCCGAGCAAATGGGCCCCTGCCAGTCCTCATTCCATTTCTGCATGGTCCTTGAGGCTAGGGGACCTCAGCTGCATTGAATCCCCACCTCTTATACGGCTCCCCACAGGCCAGGATGTTTTGTTTGGAAACTACAGTGGTGTGCCAAGATGGGATGATCAAATCGAATCCAAAGGTTTCACATAAAGTTCCAACTCTCCAGTCACCCTATCAGATATCAGAACGCTCCGGGCCTGTGTTCTTACAGGGCGACCGTGGGTGACGCTGGGCAGCACCTGCCCCCTTAGACAAGGCCTGCGTCTGCGTCCACCACTGTTCCCACAAGCCAGTATCACGTGTCCCTGGCTCTAGGAAAAAAGGAATCATCTGGGGGCACCCCATGCCCACACCCGTCTCATGCCTGCTGGGTGCTCAACCCAGATGCACAAGGAATGAGTCTAAGGCAAGAGGATAGTGACCTTGGGAGTTGATTTGCCTCAGCCCTGGCAGCAAAACATCTTGAGTTACTGTTTCCAATCCTCGGGCCACACCCACCTCCACCCTCCCCTACCCCTGCTCTAGGCCTGAGAGCTCAAGGCCAAAGCCTTCTTGTTGCCTTTCTCCCCAGGAAAAGAAGCTGTGTGCCTGGGGCGGCTCCTGCAGCAAAGTCTCCGGGCCTAGGCAAGTCCTTTTCTCCTTGGACTCCCAACTGGAAAACAGGGTGAGGAGACTGGCTCAGAAAGGCCCCCTTCACCTTCGGTTCAGAAGCAAGAGGCTAAGTGCTCAGCGCCACCTACCAGGAAGCCCTCATTGGCGTTTGTGGTTATTGTCGTTGTGAGGTGCCGTTGAGTCGGTTCCGACGCATAGTGACCCCGTGTACAACAGCATGAAACCCTGCCCAGTCCTGCACCATCCTCACAGTCATTGTTATGCTTGAGCCCATTGTTGCAGCCACTGTGTCAATCCATCGCCTTGAGGGTCTTCCTCTTTTTCACTGACCCTCTGTTTACCGAGCATGATGTCCTTCTCGTTAGCGTTTACTCATTTACTCGGTGATAAAGCTTCACGGGTAGTGGATGGCAAGACTTCGTCTCACGTACTTTGGACATGTTATCAGGAGGGACCAGTCCCTGGAGAAGGACGTCATGCTTGGTAGAGGGTCAGCGAAAAAGAGGAAGACCCTTAACGAGATGGACTGACACAGTGGCTGCAACAATGGGCTCAAGCATAGCAATGATAGTGAGGGTGGCGCAGGACCGGGCAGGGTTTTGTTCCGTTGTACACAGGGTCGCTGTGAGTCGGGACCAACTCAACGGCATCTAACAACAACAGTGGTAGGGTGTTGGGCTCCCTGAAGCGCCAGCAGGGGCTGCGGGCATGGCAGGAGTAACAGATCGCGTGTCGGAGTTCACAAGGCCTCAGGATGGAGGACATGCGGCCTTGGAGGGGATCTTGGGGACACGGGGTAGCACTGACACCAGCAGATGGCCAGGAGGAGGAGGAAGAGGGTGGCGGCCAGGGCCTGGGGACTGGCATCTGCAGTCCTGGCCCCAGCCCCAGCCCCAGCCTTAATTCGGGAGCAACTGCAAACGTGGTTGCAGCCCTTGGGGCTCCCTCCCCTTCTGTGAAACAGACTAACACCCATCGCCTGAGCAAGCTCTCCACTAAAAATGACAGAGAAAGGGCGGGCATGGCTGGCATAAGCCTCCAGAAAAACCAAAAAACCAAACCCACTGCAGTCGAGTCCATTCCGACTCATAGCGACCCTAGAGGACAGAGTAGAACTGCCCCCATAGGGTTTCCAAGGAGTGGCTGGTGCATTTGAACTGCCGACCTTTTGGTGAGCAGCTGTAGCTCTTAGCCACTGCGCCACCAGGGCTCCAGAAGGCAGTGGATATTTTTCAAGGGAGTAATACTTTGAGGAAGCAGGTTGCCCACCGAGTTCAGTGGATGTGGTGAACTCACGTGCATAGCACTCAACGTGAGCCTGGCCTGTGTTTAAGATATTCCATGACCGTCAGCTGTTAAAACATCACAGCTGTCGGTGTCAGTAGTGACCAGGGGCCAAGACTCTGCTGGAAGCCATGTTTTACAGAGGAGGAAGCTGAGGCTTGGAGAGGGGAAGTGACTCACTTGGCTTCCAAGCAGGTAAGTCGTCAAGCCAGGCCTCAAACCTACACTGCCCTGCTTGCAACAGTCACCTGTGATTTTACTGTAAATGCACCCTGCACCAGGCACAGAGATGCTGGTATATCCGGGCTCTCCACAGGAACCCCAGGAGCTGGTAAGACCTGTCATCCCTGAGGAGGGGAGGTGGGGCAGCGGTAAGAGGAAGATTTCATGTTCTTTTCTTTCCTTTCTGTTTTCTTTCTTTCTTTCCTCTCTTCATCTCTGGTCCAACTTCCATTCCCAGACATCCAATCCCAGACATCCAATCCCAGACATCCAATCCCAGACTTCCATTCCCAGACATCCAATCCCAGACATCCAATCCCAGACATCCAAGGTCCCAACTCTAACTTTCGAGATATGTCCTTAAACATAGCTGTTGTGTGCTGACGAATCGATTCCAACTCACAGCGACCCTACAGGACAGAGGAGAACTGCCCTGTAGGGTTTCCTAGATTGTAAATCTTTACAGGAGCAGATTGCCAGGTTTTTCTCCCGTGGAGCAGCTGGTGGATTCGAACCATTGGTTAGAGGCCAAGAGCTTAACCGTTGCGCCACCAGGACTCCTTAAATATAATGCTGGTGGTGTTTGTTGTGAGGTGCTGTCGAGTCGGTTCTGACTCATAGCGACCCCGTGTACAGCAGAACGAAACACTGCCGGGTCCTGTGCCATCCTCATAATCATTGTTACGCTTGAGCCCATTGTTGCAGCCACTGTGTCAATCCATCTCTTTAAGAGTCTTCCTCTTTTTCGCTGACCCTCTACTTCACCAAGCATGATGTCCTTCTCCAGGGACTGGACCCTCCTGATAACATGTTCAAAGTAAGTGAGATGAAGTCTCACCATCCTTGCTTCTAAGGAGCATTCTGGCTGTACTTCTTCCAAGACAGATGTGTTTGTTCTTCTATCAGTCCATGGTATATTCAATATTCTTCGCCAACACCACAATTGAAAGGCATCAATTCTTCTTTGGTCTTCCTTATTCATTGCCCAGCTTTTGAATGCATATGAGGCAACTGAAAACACCATGTCTTGGGTCAGATGCACCTTAGTCTTCAAGGTGACATCTTTGCTTTTTCACACTGTAAAGATGTCTTTTGCAGCAGATTTGCCCAATGCAGCGCGTCTTCTGATTTCTTGACTGCTGCTTCCGTGGGCGTTGATTGTGGATCCAAGTAAAATGAAATCCTTGAAAACATCAATCTTTTCTCCATTTATTATGATGTTGCTTATTGGTCCAGTTGTGGGGATTTTTGTTTTCTTTATGTTGAGGTGGAATCCATACTGAAGGCTGTGGTCTTTGATCCTCATCAGTAAGTGCTTCAAGTCCTCTTCACTTTCAGCAAGCAAGGTTGTGTCATCTGCATATCGCAGCCATGTGCAAAATGCAGTGTTCGTGTGACTGTGTGTTTCTATTTTCTTAATTAAATTATGCAGCGCTGGAACCCTTGTTTGGTTTCTTAACTCTTTCACTCAAGATTCTGTTTTTAAAGGGAGCTTTACTTTGCAGCGAATAATGTTTTGTATTATTTGAATTTTTTTACCACGTGCATGAACACTTTCAAAAGAAAAAAATTCAAAATAAATGAAAAGCTGAAGTAAGCAAATGCTAACCCGAACCAGCAGATCTGCCTTGGCCCACTTGCTTCCCAAGTGCGGAACTCACAGCCTCCAGACAGGGGAGCGGCGCTGTCCCGGGGGGGCAGGCAGAGCGCCACCTCCTCCCCTCAGACCCAGGCGGGGGTGGTCGCGTACGCCAGGGGCACTCACGGGCTTTTGGGCAGCAGCACTTGTCCGGGCAGCAGGGGCACCTGACGTAGCAGCAGCAGGTATGGGGGCAGCACTGACACCAGCAGATGCCCAGGAGGAGGAAGAGGAGCAGGAAGGCCAGGCAGACCACAACCACGAACAGCCAGTCTGCAGAGAGATGAGAGCGGGCCCTCAGGCGGAGGCCTGTGAGGAAGCAGGGAGGGACGCAGCGGGGCAGTGCAGAGCGGGGGCTAGGTCGGGGGCTACTGCCAGAGGCTATGGGGAAGCTGCAGCCCTCCTGGGCTCTCCACGGCAGAGGCTGGGGGGCAGCAGCAACAGAAGAGGAATGCCCACCCCTCTGCAACCCAGACCGGTCCAAAAATCGGGGAACTGCTCCTTGGCTCACGCTGACAGGGCAGAAAACAAGAGGTGACCTGGCCAGAGCAAGACAGACTGTAGCCTCAGAGCCAGGGGAAAGCCGGCTGTCCATATCCCAACCCCCAGGATCGCACTGCAGGCACCAGTCACAGGAGCCCCTGCCTACACCCCAGGCTCTGCCTCAGCCAGCCCAAAGCCCAGAGCCAGGTCACTAGGTGCTACAGATTGGGTGGGGTTAGTGGGGGGCCCACGGCGAGCAGTGTTTAGGATGGGGGAGAATACCAGAGACAGAAGCAGTAAATGGTGGGTGGGGGACTCCCAGGAGAAGCCTCACTGAGGCTTCTACCCCCCATACCTTCCAAGGGCCCCGCCTGAAAATCAGGTAAGAGCTCAGCCACCCCTGAGGTCCTGCCTGGAGGGACAAAAGAGAAACAGGAGATTATGCTGGCGAGAGCCAGCCCAGGCCGCCCTGCCCTGAAGCCCAGCTCTAGGCTGGTCAGGTGGAAGGTAATCCGGAAGTGGGAGAGGCGCTGGTGGCCTAGGAGGGTCCCAGCATGCGGTTCCTGCCCTCCATCCCCTGCCCAGTTGCGGGGGCTGTTTTCCAGAAGGCTTCCATCACAATTCACCCACTGTCTCATACAGCAAGGAAGTCCGCTGTCCCAAAGGGCTCTAACCCATATGCCGTGGGGTTCTGAAGGCCCCACCTCAATTTGGACCCTCTATCTCTGTGACATAGCCCTGGTGGCGGAGTAGTTAAGAGTTAAGAGCTCGGCTACTAACCAAAAGGTCAGCAGTTCGAATCCACCGGCTGCTCCTTGGAAACCCCATGGGGCAGTTCTACTCTGTCCCATAGGGTTGCTATGGGTCAAATCGACTCGACGGCACACAACAACATTACCCCAAAGGGTCCCACCCCATGTGACAGGGTGGGTCTGCACAAGGCCGACCAGTCCAGCATGCACAGTGGGCACAGTGCCCTAGAGCCCACGATACTTTCAGGGGCCCAAGAAAATGTTTTAGGTTTTTAATTTTTTTTAATTAGAGAAAAAAATGAATCCTGAAATTATCACTATAACAATGCAATCATAAAAGATACTTTTTAATATTTTTTTTAGGGAAGGAAGGGGCCCACGAAAGCAAAAGTACCTACAGCCCTTAAAAGTCACAACCGGCCCTGGCTGTATGACTCACAAGGTTTCCATCTCGGTTCACGCATCCTATCACAGGCCACACACATGTTCTGTGCCCCAGTTAGCGCCTTCCCTCAGGTGACAACGGAGCTCTGTGAGCCACAAGCATTTTATCACCTGGGGCATACACACGCCTGGGCCTTATACCTACAAAGTGCTCACACTGTATGGCATGCCTGCCCCTAGAGGGGGCTCTACAATGCAGATCAGCAGTTCTCAAAGTATGGTCTGGTCCACAAGTCTAAATAAACTATTTTCATCAAAATACTTAGACGCTATTTGCCTTTTTCATTCTCATTCACCATCATCGGCGTACAGTGGAGTTTTCCAGAGGCTACGTGGCACGTGATGACATCATCACTCTGATGGCTGACGGATGGTGTGCTTGTACAGCTTGTGCTTTAAAATTTCTCAATTGTCATTTCTAATTTGATAAGTATCTAGAGATACCCCACATAACCAAAAGCTCTCTGAGGTCTTCCGTAATTTGTTTAGAGCGTAAATAGGTCCTGAGGCTACAAGTTTAAGAACTGCTGATGCCGACTGTGCATTTCACCAAAGGGCACACAGAGGCTGTCTAGGTCCCCGGCACACATGGCTGGTGGCCCGGGCATCCTGGGGCGTGCCCCCATCCCGTGTGCTCGCTCACGCACACAGCTCCGCACACCACGCATGCGCTGCTGGAAGCATGCCGTCCAGCAGTCTCACATACAGCCCAAGCCACATGAGACTATGTGTCAGCCCGTGGCAACAAGCCCTCCGCACAGAGCATGGGGGTCCTGGGCTGGACAGGGGCTGCTGGCTGACACCCCACCCTGCCCCTGGGCATCTGAAGTTGGCATCATCTGAGGGAAGCACTCAGGTGTATGCCACACACAGCCATCCCAACAGGGCGGAGGGCAGCGTCCCTGAGCTACGGCAGGGGTTTGTGGGGTGATGTGTAGCCCTAGGGATGTGACAGGAGGCAGGCCCAGCCTGCTCGCTTTATCCACACAACCCGCTTCTTCACTCATTGCCAATCAACTCAGACCATTTCTGTATTTTTTAAAAAATGAGACTGGGAAGAGGGAGTGTCCCCAATTCTCTTCACTCTATGTTTGGCTCTGGCTGATTTGGAATGTTGAGGGGGACGCTGCCTGGGGTGCGGGGCACAGGTAAGCCCAAGTGACTGGTGGTGCCGTGTGGGGGGAGCGAAGCAGGCGGCCAGAGCCCAGAGAGCAAAGCAGGAGGGCGGCGGGCAGGCGCACAAGTAGACAGAAGCGGGCGGCCCCATTCCACCTCCCCCGCTCCCTCCCCAGGCTGTCAGGATGCAGCCCCACACTCACCCAGGACGATGAGTTCTGCGTAGGCCTCATTGTTCCCGCCGAGGTCCTGGGCCGAAACCACAGAGCAGTAATACACACCACTGTCTCCCCAGGCCGTCTGGTCAAATGTCAGGTCAGCATCTGGGAC